GTGTCTCTCTCTGTCAAATAAATAAATAAAATCTTTAAAAAAAAAAAAAAAGAAATTAGTGATAGTTGACTTTATAAAGTTTGGGCAAAATAGTCTTTAGACAGCCAGTGTTTTTAGTATACAGGAAATCATGGCATTTGCATTCTCTTTTACCAATTTTCTTGATCTTTAAGTTAAAGATAGAGCTGAAGAAAGCAAGAATCCTTGTCTTTGACTCCTGGGACCTCTCTGTCTAACGGGTAGATACAGCTGCAGTTCTCAGAGAATGCCTTCCAGGTTTTATAAATGGGGAATCTGGGGGCTGTGAGTTCCAGCTTTGAGCAAGTCAGATTTTCAAGTTCCTGGTTGTGCCCTGTGGCCCATGTTTGGCACTCTCTCCACTCTGGGTGTTGAGCTGACTCAGCCACGCTCTTCCCCAAAAGTTGGCAGTAGGTGTGGTTCACGGCACATCCTTTTATTCCAAAACCTGCAGGTATGGCTGAAGAGATGTTCAAAGCTTTGAGGGCCCTCTGCTTCCCCAACTCATTCCCCACTTTCTCCACAGACCCATTCCTTGCCAGTTGTGGTGATCTCCAACATCTGTCAGATGCCAAATGCCTGGGCATCAATCCTGTGGTATAACATGCTGACCAACAACCCCAAGGTAGGCGCCCATCCTCTGGAAACCGTTGTTGTGGTCCCTCGTGTGGGTCATCAGGCACCGCTGTCTCATCTCAATGAGCAACTGTGTCGTTTTCAATAGAACGTGAACTTTTTCACCAAGCCCCCGATTGGCACCTGGGATCAAGTGGCCGAGGTGCTGAGCTGGCAGTTCTCCTCCACCACAAAGCGAGGGCTGAGCATCGAGCAGTTGACTACGCTGGCAGAGAAACTCTTAGGTCAGCATTTTCCCTCTTTTCCCTGCTGCCCTCCTCAGAAAAGGAATCTGGCCTGTGGGGCTGTTCATTCAGGAAAATTGGCTGAGCGAGGCTCTGTGCTGGGGCCAGAACGCATGCGCTCCCACAGTTGGTGGGGTGGGGTGGGGGGGACCAGTGGAGTAGGGAGGCAGAGGAAGCTTGCCTCCTGGTGATCATTTCCGAGGTAGGAGGCAGATGTCTTTTCTCCTGGTGGCTGGACCCCTCCACCCTTCCAGAGCACGACTTTGTCTAACCTTAGGAAGAGATTTTTTAAGTGCTTGTTAGAAGGCAGAGGTAAAAAGCTTGACATCCCTGTCCGTTTCTTCAATAAACTGGACGCTTGTTTTGTTTTTTCCCTCCTGAAAAAAAAAAATTTAGTGTACTATTTTACATGCTACCTGCACGGAAAGCAGCTTTATCCTGTGCTGTCCCCAGACATGAGCCTCTAACACTGTCAGCTTATTCACGTGTGCTGCTCGTCCCCAGTCCACCACGCAAGAGGAGGAGGAGGGGGTGGGGAGAGGGGGGAGAGACTTGATATGTCGTCCACCACCTCCGCTGGCTAAACAACACCCCAGGTGATCCCATGATGGGGTTTTGTGAGGGTGGATGTGTGTGTATGTGCGTGTGCGCACACACATGCGCACGACAGTGAGAGCCTTCAAAACCATGGAAGCCAGTGGTTTCTCAGCCCATTGTGGGACAGATGTGTAGGAATGTGTGTTCTGTTATAAGAAATAAGATCTCGATTCAAACCTGAAAATTACACTGCTTTATTCTTTTTTTCCTTCAGGACCTGGTGTGAACTATTCAGGGTGTCAGATTACGTGGGCTAAATTTTGCAAAGTAAGCCGTCTTGTTAAATCCTTGTGGCCAGCTAGTGGGAGTGGGAGTGGGACGGAATGCTTACCTGTGAGGTTGTCGTGGATGGGACTGGGCTTGGAGGCTGAAGACTCATGGTCTCGCTGTCAGTAGGACCTACCTGAGGGTAGATGGGCCTGGGGATTTTGGTGGCATCGTGCCTCGAGGAAGGAAAAGGCTGGGAGGGTGGACTTGGCTTTTCCCATTATTCTTTTCTTTAGGAAAACATGGCTGGCAAAGGCTTCTCCTTCTGGGTTTGGCTAGACAATATCATTGACCTTGTGAAAAAGTACATCCTGGCTCTTTGGAATGAAGGGTAAGTTGAAACTCTTGTGTCTGGCGGAGTGCACGTGTGTAAGAAGTCACCTGCTGTCTCAGCAGGCCGGTGGTGGGGACCCTGTCAGCCCAGATCTTGTCGCTCTTCTTCGGCTCCAGGTACATAATGGGTTTTATCAGTAAGGAGCGGGAGCGGGCTATCTTGAGCACCAAGCCCCCAGGCACCTTTCTGCTACGATTCAGTGAAAGCAGCAAAGAAGGAGGTGTCACCTTTACTTGGGTGGAGAAGGACATCAGCGGTAAGTTGGACTCTCACCCACCCCACCTGGTGGCAGTTGCTGCTGCTGCCACACTGCACTCGTTTCGAGCGCCCGCTGCCCCCTAGTGGGCAAAGGTGGCTTTGCACTCCCCTGCCTCCGACTTGTAGTAACACTTTTCAGTGACTTCTTTTCTCCAAATTCTTTCAGCTGAAGGATTGTTTGCCAGTTTTGTTTTTGCTTGCTTCGGGGGCTAATATTTGCCTAGAAATTTGCAATTTATTTTATTTTTTAAAGATTTTTTATTTTTTTTATTTTTATTATTATTATTTATTTATTTGACAGAGTGAGACAGCGAGAGAGGGAACACAAGTAGGGGGAGTGGGAGAGGGAGAAGCAGACTTCCCGCTGAGCAGGGAGCCCGATGTGGGACTCGATCCCAGGACTCCAGGATCATGACCTGAGCTGAAGGCAGTCGCTTAACCAACTGAGCCACCCAGGGGCCCCTAAAGATTTTATTTATTTATTTGAGAGAGAGAATGAGATAGAGAGAGAGCATGAGAGGGGGGAGGGTCAGAAGGAGAAGCAGACTCCCCGCTGAGCAGGGAGCCCGATGTGGGACTCGATCCCGGGACTCCAGGATCATGACCTGAGCTGAAGGCAGTCGCTTAACCAACTGAGCCACCCAGGCGCCCAGAAATTTGCAATTTAAATCTCATTCTTCGTCTCCTTTCTTACGTACCTTGTTAATATATCTTATGCACATAGTTATTCAGGTATATTGCCTATGACCCAACTGGGTAGTCTCTCCAGAAACCAGCTGAACATTTCCACAGCGCCAGCTGACTGGACAGGCTATTCAGGGCTCAGGAGCTAGATTGGCATGTCTTCCCCTTTCAAGGAAAAATAAATCGGGTCGTCTTCTCCGAGATTACCTGGTGCCCTTATCTTCCCTTACAATGTCCCATGACAGGTAAGACCCAGATCCAGTCGGTGGAACCATATACCAAGCAGCAGCTGAACAACATGTCATTTGCTGAAATCATCATGGGCTATAAGATCATGGATGCTACCAACATCCTGGTGTCTCCGCTGGTCTATCTCTACCCCGACATTCCTAAGGAGGAGGCATTTGGAAAGTACTGTCGACCGGAGAGCCAGGAGCATCCTGAAGCTGACCCAGGTAGTTGTTGATTTTCCTTGTCGGGCATTTAATTCTGGGAAAAAGGGGGCAATTGCAGGATCCCTGGGGGACAGACAGGTAAATGCCCGAAGGGCCTGATCTTTTATTCCTCTTTATGGGAAAGAACTTTGTAGTGAGTGCTTTTGGGGTGGCTGATGGGGTTGGAGAGAGGAGAGGAATCAGTCACTTGTCTCTGCCCCACAGGGAACTTGCCAGGCTAAAGGGAGAAATAGCACACACACACTCACCCCAGACATCTAAAATGCTGCCGAGAGAGTGAGGACAGGATTCTTTAGTAACAGGATGTCCAGCCAGCACAGCGCTTCTCACACAGTAGCTGCTGGAAGGTCTGCGACTCAGACTCGAGTCTAGTGTGTTTCCTTTTCCCCATTACTGAACAACGTGAGCAGTGTCGTGTGGGATGGAGAAAGGCTTTCTGGAGGAAATGAGTGTTAGCAGCACAGGAACCCGGTTTGTGAGCAGAGGCGGGGGGAGGGGTGATTGAGGGGGAGCCTGTAACCTGTGGGAGGGCTCGGGGTGGGATTTAGCGCGAGCAGCTCTCGAATGAAGCGGTTGCGTCATGTGCAGGAGCACAGGTGTTTCTGTAAGCCCTGTAGACACTGTTTCATGGAGAGCTTGTAACCGCTAGTGAGGTCAGCAGCCTAGAGGGGTGGCCCCGCTGCTCTGTGCCATCCCCACTTGCTGCTTTGGCTCTCTGGGTTCTTGGTCCGGATCCTGATGGGGAACCTATGATTTTGCCATTCTTTGTTTTTATTTAACTTCCCTTAATTGGAGAGCCAGCAGGGGGCTCTTTAAAGTGATCCTTTGAGGGTAGCTTCCCTACTCCAGTTGCTTTTGGAAAAACTGTTTTTGCGCAGAGACCTCACGCAAGCACACACCCACCTTTTCCTAGGAATCCCCTCTGAGGAACTTCTTGGGATGGGGGAAGACTGGGACTTGAAAAAGGAATTTGAGTTACTTGTTAAGTGACTTCCCTCTTTACTTTGTTATGTTGTTGGGTTTTGTTCCTACTATAGAAGAACTAACTCTCACTTCCTGTCTGCTACTTATCTGGCTTTCCAGCTGTGCTTCAGTTGGGAGATGTGTTTATCAGTCCCAACACGCTACTCTTTGTTCTTTCTGCAGAGGACATTTAGATCCAAGTGCTGGTCCTTTGGCTCGTTTTGCTTTCATGATCCAGGTTCCCAATCTGAGGCCAAGCCCTCCATTATCATCAGCCATCCTGTGTGACCGGCAGGCAAGGTCCTTTCCTGCCTGGAGTCACCAGTGTTTTCTCGGGTCAAGAGCCCAGGAGGAGAAAGGAACTAATTACTTGAGTGCTTTGCCGGCCTCCTAGGGAGGCGAGTGTAAGCAGTGGGCACTGAGGGGCTTGGCATGTTGGGAGCATGACGATGGGGTGGGCTGAGTGCTGGGGGCGTCCCCGCATTCAAGTGGGCATCCTCCAGGAGATGGATCTGTGTCCATTTCCTCTTGTTTTCCATCATGAAAGTATTTTTGCCCCCAGGGATAGATCGATGTCTTCCCAGGACTCTTCCTTCTTCCTTACTTTTTCACCAGACCCCACACAGGATTTCTCAGTGGCTTGAGGTAGAGAGGCATCTCTTAGAAATGACACACCCCTTACCTTACAAATTGGATGAAGTATGTTGACAACCTTGTACAAATTGGATGAAGTATGTTGACAACCTTGTACAAAGCTCCACTTTCAGTCTTGGTTCTCCTTTGTTTCTGCTCTTGCTGAATCTCAGGCTAAAGCTAGTTTTCTCAGCTACCTGATCACTGGGGAACTAAATCCTTCTCTGTCCAGGATGTCGCCTCCCCTCAGGTCTGCACCACGGTGGATTTATAAGACACCAGAACCCTGCCTGGGTAGCGTCTTTGGATTCTGGTCCACATGAATCTATTTCTTGGCCCCAAATAACCTTGGATGGCAATCTAAGGACCCTCTGACAATGCCTTTCTCAGATTGTCAGCATACTTTCTGATTCCTTGGTCTCTCTATAAATCTCAAGCTTTATAACTGTGCTTCTCTCGGCCCACGCCACCCTGCCCCACACCTCCTAAGTGATTTGTTCACCAGAATCCACCAGATTTCATGCCAGTGTCTTCAAGACTCCTTGACGTCTTGGTGTAAACATTTAGTGTCTAAAATTCATTTATTCCAGTCCTCACATTTCTTTTTTTCTTTTTTTTTTTTAAAGATTTATTTATTTATTTGAGAGAGCGAGAATGAGAGAGAGTACATGGGAGCGGGGAGGGTCAGAGGGAGAAGCAGGCTCCCCGCCGAGCAGGGAGCCCGATGCGGGACTCGATCCCGGGACTCCAGGATCATGACCTGAGCCGAAGGCAGTCGCTTAACCGACTGAGCCACCCAGGCGCCCCAGTCCTCACATTTCTAACTATGGAACAAGAATTATAAATGAGGGGCGCCTGGGTGGCTCAATCGGTTAAGCGACTGCCTTCGGCTCAGGTCATGATCTCAGGGTCCTGGGATCGGGCCCCGCATCGGGCTCCCTGCTCAGCGGGAAGCCTGCTTCTCCCTCTCCCACTCCCCCTGCTTGTGTTCCCTCTCTCGCTGTGTCTCTCTGTGTCAAATAAATAAATAAAATCTTTAAAAAAACAAAAAAAAGAATTATAAATGACCCAGATGGGCACTTCCCTCTTCCCCCTCCCTCTTAGCGTAGAAAGTGCTTTGCTCCGGGTGTCTTAGCTGTGGAAGACATGACAAGCCCCAGGCCTCCTGTCTTCAGTCCGGAGTCAATGGTATTGCCACACCAGGCAGCCTCTCTTGACAGAGAGGCTGCTCTTTGTATGATGTTGCTCCCCAACTGGGGAGTTACTAATACGGCTCACCTAAAAAGTAGTAGAGGCAGATGAATGCCCATAGGAATGAAAAGTATGACTCTGGGCCTCGCAACAGCATGAGCAATTTCCACATTCTCTTAGAGACTTGGTGACTTTGGCATCTGAGCAGGACCGTGTGTGTCCGAGGCCAGACTGCGTCGGCTCCGTTCCTGCGTGCGGAGAAGTTGTAGCGAAGAGATTCGGCCAGGCCAGAATACAATCCTCAGACCCCATGCAGGCAGCTCAGTGTTCACATCATCTAGGGAAAGAACAAACAGGCTGGCATTGGTCTAGGCTCAGGTGGGACCAGGGTGTGCTTAAAAGTCTCTGCAGGTCAGGAAAGCTCTATGGAAAGGGTTGAACCACCAAGCTGCAGGTGCCTCGCACACCCAACAGGACACAGTGGTGGGAGGGCAGCCCTGAGGGGAGGTGGGGCTTCAAAACGGCCTCCGCTCCAGGATGGAGTGGGGTGCACGTCAGTGCCGATGAGACAGCCGGCTTCCTCCTGCCCTTGGCCCACAGTGGGGTCGCAGTTAGTAAGCCCCAGTTTTCTTCTTCCCAGGTGCTGCCCCATACCTGAAGACCAAGTTTATCTGTGTGACTCCGTAAGTGGCTTCCCTTCTCAATTTGGCCTTCATTTCTGGTGTCCTCAGTTCTCCTGGGAGTAGGACGCTGGGTGAGAGCTATCCTGTGAAGGGCCGGAACGTCCTGGGCTCTGTGTAGTACTCAAAGTGACCTTGTGTGTTTAAAAAGCTTGAGCTTTTATTTTTCTGTTGGAGACCAGAGTTTGATGGCTTGTGTGTGTGTGTTTTGTTCTTTTTTTTTTTTTCTCCATTGTGTCTTGTCAACCCGGCCCTTTCCCCTCCTGCTGCTCCCCATTTCCTACAGAACGACGTGCAGCAATACCATTGACCTGCCGATGTCCCCCCGCACTTTAGATTCATTGATGCAGTTTGGAAATAATGGTGAAGGTGCTGAGCCCTCAGCAGGAGGGCAGTTCGGTGAGTGTTTGGTGACAGACCCTGTCCTTAGGAGGGAAGTCAGCCCCCTTCGTGTGCCATGCACCGAACCAAGAGCTGCCCCCCTCACCGCGCGATTGGTAGAAAGTTCTAGAGCAGTGCTCTCCCTTAGAAACCAAATGTGCACCACGCCTGTAAGTGCAAATTTTCTAGTAGCCACGTGAAAAACAGCAATAAGAAACAAGTGAGGTTAACGTTAATAGTATCTTTTCTGTAACCCAGTAAATCCCCAGTACTAGCATTTTAGCACATAAGAGAAAGTTATCGAGGTTTTTTTTTGTACTAAGTCTCTGAAACCTGCTGGGTGTTGTACGGCTCCAGCCCATCTTGAGTGGGACTGGCCACACTGTGATGCTCAGTAGCCACCCGGTGGCTCCGGGCTGCCCCATCCTGCAGGACAGCCTTCGATCTTTCCACGCGGACAGTTGGGAACGAGTTAAGGGAGGAAGGGGACTGAGCCCTTCCAGAAGACCAGACCCTCTAGGGAGGAGAGTAAATCTGGAGTATCCGACCCTGTCTCGGCCACACGGGGCAAGGACCCTGGATGGCAGTGCTGGCTGGGCCTCTGTCCCCCGAAGGGCTGCAGGAGCATGCCCTGCCGGCTCGCGGGCTCAGGCAACTGAACGAGCTCTCCCGCTCTGTCCCCCCAGAGTCCCTCACGTTCGACATGGAGTTGACCTCGGAGTGCGCTACCTCCCCGATGTGAGGAGCGGCGGGCTGAGGCTGCAGAGAGCGAGGACAGAGGCACCTACCTGTGTTCTACCACCCCTCACACAGCCAACCCCCAGATCGTCTGAGACTCCTCTCACTTTGTGCTTCCAGATTTTTTTTTAATCTCCTACTTCTGCTATCTTTGAGCAATCTGGGCACTTTTAAAAATAGAGAAATGCGTGAACGTGGGTGATAACGCTTTTACCTAAATGCAAGTAAGAATGTGTTCTCTGACACTGTGACCGGGGGATGTGGAAGGGGTGGCAAGAGGGAGAAAAAGGAAATGTTCTGGTCTTTTCTGGCTCCCCGGCCCTCCTTTCTCAGCAGCTCGTGTTGTCCTTAGACAAGTGCCTCCTGGTGCCCGCGCATCCCTCTGCCTATCTCTGTAAGCTCACACCACAGGCTGCCTCTAGCTACATTCCTCCTGGCATTGCACTTTTAACCCTGCTAACAACCAAATAGAAGATAGGACTTTCACAGCCCCTAAGTTTCTTTTTAAATTTAAAAAAAAATTAAAGGGCAAAAAACACTGTATTGGCATAACCTTTTCTGTATTTAAGACAACTCAGTCAGTAGCCTTCTTGGTGCTTTAAGCATTCAGCTTTCTTCAGGCTGATAATTTATAGAAATCCTAAAATGGGCTTCAGATCCAACCCTTAAAAGACATCTGAAGCTGTGGCTTGGCCTTTGGTTATGAAATAGGAAGGTTGAAGGACAACCTAAACATCCTAGACATTTTTTAATAAACAAAGTTTTTACTTTCCCCTTTAATGTGTTGGCCTATTAGTAGGTAAGGCTGGGCAGAGGAGTGCTTACCACCTGCCCCCCCCCCCCCCCGCCCCCGTCTCCCTGGACTTCTCCTGTTCCAGAGCCTGGGTTGTTCCTGTGGGTGCCTTATAAGGGATGGGGTGATCTTTCCTCCCTGTCCACCTGACCCCCCTTGTGTAGGGCTCCTTTCAGTGTCTAAAGGTCCCTTGTCCTGTTTGCTTTGAGAATCCTGGAATAAGAAGGCGAGAGTTACAGGTGGAACACAACAGACTGTTGGGGCCCCAGCCAAGGGTCTAGTTGAGCTCAGGGAATACGGTTCTTATCCCGGTTTCTTGGTGATTTCCCGCGGCACCTCTAATCACTTCTTCACTTGGTTAAGCCGGGGGCAAAGGCTTACTGATAAACTCGAGGTCTATCCCTTGTGTGAGGGAGTGTACACCCTGGCCCCCCCCCCCCCCCCCATGCTGGTGACTATCTCCTCCCCATGGGGGCCTCACACATGAGGCAGAACAACTCCCATTTACTGTGCGTCTCAGAACACTTCGTGGTCTCCAGTATTTGGGCCTCGTCTGACCCAGAGGCCTGACTAGATCGGGTGGTCCAGGACCACCTGATCTCAGTTGGTCAGAGTTTCTATGGTGTGCTGTTTGTTTTACCCGTACTCACCAGGTTCAGAATTAAGGGGATGAAGACATTCTCTCCAAGACGGACAGGGGTTGCGCTTGGCCATCCCTGTCCTTCCCTAGAACTGGTTGGTAGGTAGTACAGAGCTCGCCCTCCTCTAGCAACACTCTTCACTTCATAACAAGCTTAACTCAGAAACTGAGAGAAGATTTAGATCAGAGGCACCTGGGGCAAGGATCCAGGCTTCTATGGCGCAGACACTGAAAAGCTGGTGACTTCGAGGTAGCACGTGTATCTGGTTTTAACTCTGATTGTAGCAGAAGTTCTGAGAGGAGCCGAGACTTGTTCTAGCCCCTCCCTTCAAGAACCGAGCCCTCCGGGACCTGCCCGCTTTCTCTCCACTGTCTCCCCCTGCCCATCCCCAGCCCAGCTGAGGGGTTCCCATAGATGGCTCGACCTACCTGCACAGTGGTTTGTATGCTGCTGTCCTGGTCACCGCATCAAATTCCAATGTGTACTTCATAGTGTAAAAATTTATATTATTGTGGGTTTTTGGTTTTTTGTTTTGTTTTTGTATATTGCTGTATCTACTTTAACTTCCAGAAATAAAAGTTATATAGGAACCGTCTGAGGGCGTGGCAGCTCTGTCTCTGGCTGCTGGAGGCCCCCCTTCCCCTCCCCCCGTCAGTTCTGAGGGGGCCTTACCCACAGGCCGAGCCTGGATCCTGACAGGAGGCGGGGGCCCCTGCTCCCAGGCTGGCCCCCGCAGCCCACTTCTGGGGCCCCGGGCGCCCCCCATCTTATGTTAGCCAGTGGCCTCCAGGGAAGGGGTAACCGGAGGAGCCGGAGGTGTCCGTGGAGGCCCCCCTTCTCCCTCTTCCTTCCCCCCTCCTCGGGCCTTTGCAAGCCCCACGAACCCGTCTGGGGTCAGATAAGCGCTACCTAAGGGGGCTTGGGGTGAAGATACTCCCACCCCACCCTAAGGCCTCCCCTCCCACAGTTGCTCCCTTATCGCTTTCTCTTCAGTTCACTCAGCGGGGATGAACGGAAACACTTCACTGGCTGCCCGACCGGTGGTGATAATTCACAGACATCAATGCGCCCACTCGGCTGGCTCCCCCCACCCCCGTGCCGAGCGCCATGGAGACCGCGCCGCGGGCTGAGATACCAGCCGCCAGCCCTGCCGAGATGCAAGGGGAGATTAGCGGCTGCTCTCCCCGCCAGCCCACCCCCGCCAGCCCCGCGCAGGGCCCCTGCGCCTCCTTGGGGCAGGCTGCAAACCCCTCTTCCCTTGCTTTGAGCTCTGAAGAAATCTCATGGGTAGGTCCTGGCTCCCCAACCGTTCCCCAACCCCCCCCCCACCCCACCAGGGCCCCAGTGACAGCCCCTGGACTGGCAGCAGGTCGGCGCCAGGGGGTCCAAATGGGGAGACCATCCTCCTCCCCCAGCTTCCCTACGGGTCACTGGGCCGGCTGGCCCTTTGAATGGGCTGGTGGCAGCGGGATGGTGCCACCTGCTGGTGTCCGGGAAGAGGCGGGCAAGGAGGGACTGTCGCTGAGGCTCCCTGCTGCCCCTGGCACTGCCCCTGCACCCCCCCACCCCCGCATCAAAGGCTTCAAGATTGCTTATGGCAGCAGCTGATTAGGAGAGGCCCAGACCCCCCCTCTGCCATTCTTCCCGCTCCTGGCCCCCACCCCCTTCCCCCAAGGCCTCCAGCCCTAGTCGTTTTGGCTTCTGAGAAGCAGAGACAGCGTTCCAGGGCTGGTGGGCACCCTTAACACACAGAAGAGAGTGCAGAGTGGTAGCTTTGGAAGCATTACAGCACCAGCCACACGGGAGGGAAGCAACAAAACCACCCCAGCACCAGGGATCCCCGTTACCTAGGGCTGTCCGCGGGAGCCGTGCCAGCAAATTTATGAAAAAAATACTTTATTCGAAAACACTGTTTACACAAATGTGTGGCCTATGTACAAAGTACACAAGGATCCCTCTTCTGGTCCCCACCTTCCCTCAGGGATGTTTAAACCTGGGACTCCCGACCCTCTGCCACCAGCTGTCCCCGGCTGCATGTCACAGAGCCTCCAAGGGAGGAGCACGTGAGGCCGGGAGCAAGGCCTTCTCGGACCTCGGCGTTACGCAACTGTGATGAGGCCTAGTGCAGGTCCACCTGCCAGCAGGGGGGAACGAGCTGAGCTTTTACCCCTCACTCGGGATTCCACAGGCATGCCACAAGCGGCTTCTCTGCGGCCGTCTCTCCGTGCAGTTCTCCAGGAGAGGGAGATCAGCCCCGCAAGTCCCCGGCCCTCTGTTCACCCACCACGTCCTAGCCCAGTTCCTGCCCGTCTCCCCCCCTCTCCTGGGAGCAGGGTTGCAGAGCGTCAGGGAAAGAAGGCTGGGGCCCGATGGAGGGGAGGCGATCACACTTGGAAAATGATAGCAGACCGGGTAACGGCACCACAGACATGAAGCCCAGGTCCCCCGGCTGGAGGCCAGGAGGCCAGGAGGCCAAGCAACTACGTACTCAGAGCAGCTCTGACAGACCCAACCGCAAAGACCCGTTCCTGCTGCGTTAGGGCCACGGTCTAGAGAAGCCCTCGGGTCACAAACAATCTCGAGTCCATAGTCGTTAGATAAAGTATAAAACATGACTCAAAACTGAATCCCAGCCTCCCTCCCGAGGGAAAGAATCAATAGACCAACACACGTGCATGGCAACAGATGCACAAACCTAAACGCATATGCACACATTTGGGAGCCAAAGCTTCTCACTCAGGAGTACAACTGAAGCTGGGACACCTGACCCGTCTCCAAGCCCCTTCTTGAATAATTTCCTTCAAACAGCGGCGAGGCCGGACAGGCCCGGGCAGGAACAGCACCTGTGACAGCAGCCGGCGGAAGCGGAGCCCCTCCCGCGACAGACGCAGGCCTGGCGGGCCCTTGGGTGCCTTGATCTGGGGAGCAAGCTGGTGGCTGCTGGGCGCAGGCGAGGCAGGCACGCGCGCGCACACACACACACACACACACACACACAGACACACACCCACACACGGCCGAGGCATCTGTATGCACAGCAACACTAAAATCACCATTAACACGACCCCTTCACACTGAGTGTTGTTTCCAAAGAGAAGCGTGCCATTCGAACATTCATGAGAGCGAGCCTCGGGCAGCGGTGAAAAGGCCGGCAGGCGGGGAGAGGCGGGGGTCCAGACTGTCCATCGGGCGGCGTAAGAGTTCCTCCACGTGCCGGGCGACGTCCATGGTCTCATCCAAGTCAAATTCTCCATCCTGGTCGAGGACGGGGTCAGGGCTGGGAGAGAGGGAGAGGGAGGTCAGAGGGAGCTGAGCATGCCGCTGGCCCCCTCCCCACTCAGACCACAGTCTCACGGGAACAGGACTGGCTCTGGCTGGCCGCCCCCGCGAACCCCAAGCTGAAAACGTCAGTCACTGGCTCATTGGGAGCTACTCAAGTTCTAGTCTCAACGCTCATTGCCGTACTGAGTGGGCTCAGAGAGTTCTTCTCCCTTGTCCCCGTCCCTCTCCTCCTCTGCAAAACACGGTTGGGTCAGTGAGTTCTGCCCACTGCGACACTATTCCACTCAACCATGGGCTCCAATTGCTGAGCACCTACAACGCGCTGGGCTTAGCCACCTGAGGTAGGTATCTGCTCCACTTTACACTGGGGGAGACTGAGGCTCGGCCGTGTTCAGAAACCTGCTCAGGGCCACCTGGCTGGCAAATGGATTCAGGATTGGAATTCCAGTCTTGGTGACTCTCAAGCCCATGGCCATCCCAGTGCAGCTTGTGTCTGCCAGACACCCAGACATCCAGCTGGGGCCACCCACAGCTCAGGAGAGAATTAATTCTCTGCCCTGGGAACTCCAGAGAGGAGCAAGTGATAGCCCGTTTCCCTCCAACTCCTAAGAGCAACCGCCCCATCTGGAGCTATCCCTTACCACAGCCTCACCTGAGTCCTGCCCCCAATCCCATATGGTAGGTATTTTTGCCTCCATTTTACAGATGTGGAAACTGAACATCTGGGAGGCTCAATAATTTTCCCAAGGTCACACAGCCAGTCAGCACCAGAGCAAGGACCCTCCTATATGTAGCTTATGTTCTATGCTTCTCACTGGCTGATCTCCCTCACTGTACCTGGGCACATGCCGGAGCCCGGCCTGGGTGGTCTCAGACCTACAGGAGCTCTGGGTCCCTTTGCCCACCAGCCCTCCTGGGGCCCAGCCTGAGGCCAGGTGCCCACTTTCTCCCCGCGGAGCCCCATGAGAACACAACCTACTTCTGGGGGTACATGTTATAATGAGCCTGGGGGCACACGGCTGGGGAGGGGGCCTGGTCCATGTAGGTGGCGCTGGCCCCGGCAGAGTCTGCAGACGCACTCACAAACCTGCAGGAGAAACACAGCAGAGCCTCAGTGGCCTCCGGGCAGCAGCTGACTTGGGGCGGGGGGGCATTTTTACACCTTTTTTGAGGTATGGAAGGACAAAGTGCCCACTGGGCCTGGGACTCCAGCTGCAGGAGTGGGGCCCTGGGTCCTGGTCCCATTGAGACTAAGCCCAGTTCCCTCTCCAGGGCTGAGCCAGGCTTCAACGGGGAAGGGCGGGCTGGGCCACACAGGGCCTGTGAGTGGGAGGAGCAGCGGTGAGGGGTGAGGGGGGCCAGGGGAAGAGAAAGGAGGCAGCAGGAGACCAGAGCTGGACCCTGGGTACTTACTCAGGGACCACTTGCTTGATCTGTGGCTTCACGTATCCATCCACCGCTTTAGCTGCCGAGGGGGGAGCGTGATAAGAACCCGCCTCTGGGAGCTCCCAGGCAGTGGAAGCCCATGGCATGCAGTCTGCCTCCTACCCACATCACTGTGGGGCCTCAGCGGGGATGAGATTTCCCACAGATTCCTATAAACACCTGCCGATGGACCCCTCGAGGGCCACCCAGACCCCTGGCTCCGATCTCATCCTTTCTCCTGCTTCCGTTTCTGGCCCTTTGCTCTCCCTCTCCTCACCCCACTCTGCCAAGGAAGCAGAACCAATTCCAAGCAGCAAACCCAACAGTGGACTAGGGACAAGTTGAAGAGGAAAAACCTGTCCATTTTGCTTCCCACATTCAACTTGGGGGCAGGTTTGAGGGTGGGAGCCGTGAGAGCAGCTGATTAAGATGGGAGTAGTGCATTATGTGTGGGTATGATTATCCTGGCCAGCACTGCCTCCTGACTTCCTCCAAGGGCACAGAAGTGAGAATCCACCCAGCTTTTCACTTTGCAGGGAAGAAAGCTGGGTCAGAGGGTTTGTTTTCCCTCTCTGCTGGGAGACCTGAAATCCCCTCCCCGTGCTCCACACCAAGCCACCGACCAAGCCCACGGGGGAAATGGCCCCTGGGTTCTTCCTGGGGAGTCCCAGCTGCCTCGCCCCAAGAGATTTGTCCACAGGCTGCGGAAGGGCCCAGGAGTATCAGGGCAGGACGCACCGAGCACAGGGGTGTAGTACTTGGAGAAGACCTCATCCTTGGGCCGGTCGGGAAATACGTAGATGAGATAGCTCAGGTCCCCTAGCCGGTCTGCCAGTGACCGGATGGAGAAGTCCCGTGTGGTGAACGGCTTCAGGTTCCACAGGTTGCGGTCAGCTGTGAAAAGGACAAGCTCATTCCCACCACCCACCACCCTCAGGAGGAGGGCCAGGGTCATGGGGTTTGAGATCCGGCTTGTAGAGACATCTGGGTTTGGACTAGCCTGCTCTGCAACCCTCCAGGTTGTCTTGCACTCCTTGGCACAGGGCAAGCAACTGACCATGGGAACATTTACCCAGTGAACCAAGCAAGAAGATGCCAGCAAGGCTAAGTGAGGGCAGAGAAGGGAGAAACTCAGAACCGCTGAAGAACTCCCCCAGCAGCTCTGGAGGCTATGGGGCCAGTGAGCTTAAGTTCGCCACGATGGAAAATGGTAGAAAGGGAATGTATTTCTGAGCAACACTCTTCCCCTACTTTGGGTTCAGTTCCAATCTTTCCCCTGGGGAAAGCTTCTAAGGATGCAGACCTGATGGGGAATGGGGAGCAAGGAAATGGGAGCCGGGGCACTCACGAGAGTCAAACTTCCAGGCAATGGTGATGCCCCCGATTTCGGAGTCGCTAAAGCGCAATAAAAAGGTCCCATCAGGCTTGTTGATGAGCAGGTCATGGGCCTGTTGCTTGTTCACAAAACCTAGGATGGCCCTGGGTGCAACGGAGCATACAGCGTCACTACCGGGCCAGCATCGTCTGTACCCGGAGCCCATGGCCTCCCAACCCCTGGGCCCCCCGCATTCCTCACCCGTCATTCCAGTGAGGCTTGTGATGCTTCTTCAGCACCTCCATGACCCCATCGAACCACTGCCAGAAGGTGTAGTTCCAGCCCAGCAAGTTCTCCTGAGAGCCCCCAGGAAACCCCAAGTCAGGGTTTGTGGCCCCATCATCACAGGTGGCCCAGGAAACAGTCCATGCCCTCGTCCTCATGCACACCCTCTCCCAATTCCTCGCCCTACTCACCCCGCACTCCGGCGGTCCATAAACGGACGCAGCCCCCCAACCCGTACGTGGCCTAAGGACGAGAGACTAAACCTGCCTCTTGCTTCTCAGACACAAGGGTGGAGGTAGGGGGCGCCCAGAATTGTCTGAGCTGGACAAGACCTCCAAAGTCGCTTCTCCCCCGATGGACAGAGGGGGAAAGTGAGGCACAGAGAAGGGAAGGGCCTGGCCACTTAGTTACCAGATCTAGGACAGAGACTCAAGGATCGGGACTCCCAGCCCCGGGTTCCTTCCACTGTCCTGCTTTGGCTCTCAGAGCTACATGCACTTTCCTGCTGCCCCTGCCTCCATTCCCTGGGGTCTCAGCCCCCGTCTCTCCTGGATGTGGGAGAGGGCAGGGCGGGGTGGACAGGGCAGTGCTGACCGAGGCCAGTAACCGGTCCGTGAGGTGGGGAAAGCCTGGAAGGGCACAGGTGGCCCCAGGGCAGGCGGCTGGTGGCAGGTCCCTCACCCTGTTGAACTGGGACCAGGACACGGACATGCCATTATAGTCTTCAAGGTGCCCACTGCTGTTGTTGAACAGCTTCTGTGCCAGGAACACGAGGTTCTCCTTGGTCAGGCCCCGGGTGCTCTGCACTTCGGCCTTGAATTTCATGTTGAGCGCCTCACACAGCTGAGACCACAGCACTTTGTCGGGCACGGCGAACGGCACCCTGCCCTGAGACGGACAGAAGAGAAAGCAGACTGATGGAGTAGGAAATATTTACACACACACGCACACACGTCTGCACACACACACACACACACACACACTCAGACACACAGATACCAAGAGACAGAGGCAGCTAAGAAAGATCCAGGAAAGGAGACACAAACACAAGAGAAAGAAAGGCAGGGCAGGGGCGGTGCCTGGGTGGCTCAGTCATAAGGCATCTGCCTTCCGCTCAGGTCACGATTCCCAGGTCAGGGTCCTGGGATCGAGCCCCCGCATCGGGCTCGGCTCCCCTGCTCAGTGGGGGGCCTGCTTATCCTGCTTATCCCCGCCCCCCGCCCCGCTGTTCGTGCTTTCTCTCGCATGCGCTCTCTCAAATAAATAAAATCTTAAAAAAGAAAGAAAGAAAGAAAGACAGGGTGGCAGGGGCAGAGGGGTGGGCATACGGCGATAGAGACCCAGACCAGGAGTCTGGGATAGAGATCAGGGACCCAAACCATAAGTGGAAGGAAGATCAGAGCCCAGAGCCCAGGGGCTAAGCTCACAGACCTAGGAAATCCCCTTCCGGAGACGGGAACCCAGACGGAGCCTGAGGACACTCCCGAGAGCTGCCCCTTACCTCACCTCGGCTCCGGTGTGGCCCTGGGGTTGGCAGGGGACCACCCAGCAGGGCCCCAGGGGGTTGGGGCCGACTCACGGAGACTCCTGGGGCGTCGGGGGCTGAGATGGGGGTCCCCCGAGGACTCACCGGCTCGGCAAAGGCATTGTCCCACAGCACGGTGGCGGTCGCATTGTGGTCCTGGCTGCCGTGAACGATGACAACCACGGGAAGGGACAGGGTCTACGGGAGTCAAAGGAATGAGTGTAGAAGGCACGTGACAGCCATCTCGCCCTCACTTAGCCCTCATTCCTCACCCACGGTCCCACCCACAAAACCTCCCAATCAAACCAAAGCAAAATTCAACAGCAACAAAAACCCCCCACAGCCTCGTTCTTCTCGGCCCATTACCTCAGCTCACCGTGGCCAGTGCCAGATTGTAACCTAGCAAGCAGGCACCAGCAAGGTGAAAGCAGGGGTTCTGGAAGGCCCCTGGGCTAAGTGGGCCATGACCGTGTGAGGATTCAGAGCTCTCTGGCTTTCCCAACCCAGTCAGGTGGCCTCGGGTAGGTCTTCACCTTTCTGGGTGACCTGTGGGGGATGGGAGAGCGAGGCCTCACCTTCACCTGGAACACAAGCTCATTGCTGCCAACACTGAACTGAGACTCAAACAGGACCGTGAACTTCTCCTCCGTCACGGATTCAGCGCCCCTCCGGTCAGCACGCTTAATCCTCTTTAGCGACTGGGGTGGGGGTGCAGAGGGGGATGAGGAGAAAGCAGCTGGGACGTCTGCCCGGGACTCGCCCGGGCAGACGACCCCGCCCGCCCACCCCAGGGGTCAGGCCCTGGGCTCACCATGTTCCGGAAGTGCGCGCTGAGGGTTCCGGTGGCCTGGTGATACTCCATCACACAGCAGTTGTTCAGGATCTCGCCACTGCACTCGCTGGGAAGGAGAGGGGAGCCCCATCGCCATGTGGACCCCAGGAGGATGGCTCTGTATGCGCCCTGGGCCAGGGGTTCATGCCGGAAAGCCAAGCCAGCAGCCCCTGCCCCTAAGAGTGTTCCCCTCTGGGCGCTGGGGTGGCTCAGTCAGCTAAGTGGCCAACTCTTGCCTTTGGCTCAGGTCATGATCCCAAGGTCCTGGGATCAAGCCTGGCGTTGGGCTCCATGCTCAGTGTGGAGTCTGCTTGTCCCTCTCCCTCTGCTCCTCCCTCTGCCCCTCTCCCTGCTCGAACTCTCTCGCTCTCCCTCCAAAAAAAAAGAGCGTTCCTCTCTGTGTCTCAGGCCTGAGGGTAGAGCTGAACGTGCTTATTTGACAGAGAGAGACAGCAAGAGAGCGAACACAAGCAGGGGGAGTGGGAGAGGGAGAAACAGTCCTCCCGCGAAGCAAGGAGCCCAATGCGGGCCTCGATCCCAGGACTCTGGGATCACGACCTGAGCCGAAGGCAGATGCTTAAGGACTGAGCCACCCAGGCACCCCTGGGTAGAGCAAATTCTTCAAGGGTGGGATCTGGGTCTCTATCATTAAATTATCATTAAATTATCTATCGTTAAAAATTCCTTCAGCATTGGGGCGCCTGGGTGGCTCAGTCATTAAGCGTCTGCCTTCGGCTCAGGTCATGATCCCAGGGTCCTGGGATCGAGCCCCGCATCGGGCTCCCTGCTCTGCAGGAAGCCTGCTTCTCCCTCTCCCACTCCCCCTGCTTGTGTTCTCCCTCTCGCTGTGTCTCTCTCTGTCAAATAAATAAATAAAATCTTTAAAAAAAAAAAAAAAAATTCCTTCAGCATTGAGATTGATGTGGGGGCCTTCAGGGCCCCCTGGCAGCTTCTAGTGCAGTTAAAATAAAAACCATGACCACAGCCTACAAGGACCCCATGGCCAAACCCTGCCCTGCTCTCTGGCCTCCGTGGGTTTCTCTGGCCTCCGTGGGTTCCTCTCCCCTCACCCAGAACAAGTAAGTCATGCTGCCTTGTCTGTTTGCCGAACATGCAAACTCGGTGTACCTCAGGACTTTGGCACCTGCTCTTCCTGTTGCCCCAAACACCCTTGACCTTCTTGTTTAGGTCTCAACTCAAACATCTCCTCAGAAAGGCCTTCTGCGGTCACTCATGTGGTGAGGCAACATCTATCCGGATGCCATGATATCACTGTTTCATTTTCTTTCTAGACTTTTTCACTTTTCGACACTGCTGGATTACTACAACCATGTAACTGTCTCCCTCTGCAGCCAAAATGTCAGCTCTAAGAGCATGAGACCCTCTTTGCCTTCTTTATCATCCTATCCCCAGATCCCATGGTAGGCTTTCAATACACATGACCCAGTCTCCCACTTCACTCATTCACTCCCTCATTCATTCATTCACTGCATCCTTTGGGGCTGGCCTGCCCTGATCCCTGGATCCCACCCTGGGTTCTCCAGCTACGAATGCCTTCTCTACGCTCTCCTTTCGGAAGAGGCCCATGTTCCCTCTGTCTGAAAGTCTCCCTCCTCTCTCTCCCCACACCCTCCCACGAGCTACTCCCATTCATCCTGCATCCTAACACTGTCCTTCTGCCCCACCCCCACCACGACCCACTTCCACAGTGCCCTCGGTCTCCCCTGGCGCACACTACATTTCTCCCGACTGCTGCTGGCTCTGCTGGGCTGGGCGAACACAGAGCCAAGGACTGTGTGGATCGCAGCTCTTCCCAGTTATCAGCACAGGTACTCAAACAAGCCAGCTGTGCAAACCATGCTGACCTACTATGGGTCAAGAGGAACAACTTGTACACCGGGACAGACAGAATGAACGGGGGAGACCCTGCACCACGACTGCAGAGTGAGGCTGAGCTGCCCCCATCACCCAGCACCCTAGTTATAGAATAGACAGGAACTCCCAGTCCAGAACGTAGGGAGGGGAAGGCAGGGACAGGGGCCCGCGTACTTGCGGGTGTTCTCGTTCTTGAGCAGCGACTTGGCCTGCTGCTCACTGATGATGGTGGCCTTCACCTGGGGGGGGTTCATGTGCACGTTCAGCTTCCCGCCCACCAGCAGGCGCACCGTCGCTGCAAACTTGGTCTGGGTCTTCAGGACCTGAGGGGGCTGCTTCTCAATGATGAATGTGCTGCGGGGACACAAGTGACCAGACCACACATGATGCCGGCTCAGGGCACAGGG